TCTGAAAGAGAAAAAAGCTTTACTTTATCCCGAAGCAATGTTGGTTATTGGTAGAATGCTTTTTTTCAAATGTGTACCTTTTTTTTTTTTTTTTATTTGATTAAACGGTAAATTCATTCAAGTTAATTTCTATCGTTTTTCTGTGTCCATACAAATGATTTACAAATTCTTACCCTTGCAAGCCTGCGAAGGAAGTTTAATAAATTTTATGTAGGGAATAAACACAATGTTACGTAAAATGTCAAGACATTGGTTGATTAATTTCCCTTACTAATTCAATTGAAACCCTTTCATATATGTAGTTTAAAATATTTAAAGCAAACAGAGGCAAGAATAAAACATTATAGTAAGATATGTTTCACTGTCGTAAGGTACGAAATCACTTTTTCCGTTACACCAAAAAATAGATGTTTTTTATTAAGAAAAAGTCTCTATGTGCTATGTGCCTTTCTCGTGGGTCCAGTTCGTGGACTTGTAACCGTATCGTCTTGGTTTCTACATGAAAAATAATTCGAATAAGAAAATATTGGATTAGTGTAATTCAGTTCTTTATTTACTTCCATTAACCCGACCAGTGGTAATAAATAGCTTATTTAATGTTTTTTATGACATCACAGTATGGAAGTTTGAGAGAGAATGCACCAGATGTAAACTGAGTAGCATTGTCAAGTGCTTTCCTATCCTTTATAACCAAGTGGTAAATTATCCATTTAAATATCAATGTGTTATTTTCAAGCATTTCATTAGGAATTTTTTACCTTTTAGTGAACAATGTATGAGGATATTAATTTAGATAACTTGAAGTTTCAAAATATTCATCGAATCAGAAGAAATAAAAATTATACCTTTTTTTGTATATGTACTCTGTATTACTTAATTATTTGAGCAATATGATAAATGCTACATTATCGAAGATAATATTTTGATTAACACTCTATGGATAGATTATGACTCTAATATTATGACTCTATGGAGTTTCTGAAATTTCAATACTTTACTTCTTATTTAGCATGATCTGTTTTCAAATTTAATATTGTAATAAACTTTATGCATAATCCAATAAAATATAGTCAATTTAGCATTCTACAAATTCAAACATATGCAAAAAAAATTTAATCGATGTTATTTTTCTTAATTAGTTCGGTATTTTTCATCTATTTTATTGTACATTAATAGAAGTTACAATATTATATAGAAATTATAAAAACCACTCTCATTTCTCAGTTTCAAAACGTTTTAACATTTTGCTGCAGTTTTATTAGATATTTGAGATAAAAAAAATAAGCAGATGAAGATTCATTGAATTAATTTCTTTGCATGCTGCATACATTATTTTTAAAAAAAACGTAAAACTAAAATTACTCCGCTGTTTCCTTAATTTTTTGTTAAATCCATTTTTAAACAAACATGATTCGATTAAATTGAATAAATCATTCTATATCTTTGCTAACTGGAACAACTCATTTTAACCAAACAATGCCAGTGTTTACGATTTTCTTTTACATTTTCATTTTTTCATTTAAGGAGATATTTTATTCTTAATTTAATGAATAATACTGCATATCTTAATTTGGATTTGTTAAGATTAAAAACAAAATAAAAATTTTGCATATGCACTCTTATAAATTTCAATTAAAAAAGATGGCAGTTATATTCCAATCTTTTAAATGTTGAATACTTCCTCCATTTTTTCTGTGCATAAATAAATAAGTAATTTCTATAAATTTGGATGTAGAAATGAAATTGTTTATTAAAAGATTTTTCTTCTATTTACATATTTCTTCATCAAGTTATATCTATATTTCTTTCAAGTTATATACGATTTATTCATAAAAGGATGTCATTTGTAATTTATTTATTATGGATATTTAAAAGAAATAGAGACAATAATAATATTTTGAAATATTTTTAATTATTTTGGCTCCCATCTATCGTACATTTTGATCCCACAATCGTTATGTTAATCGTAAGCAATTTCGACTACCGTTGTCAAATCTTGACTGTTTTATGTGTTTGAATACAATAAAATTCGTTAATCATTATCGCTTGCTCTTTTGAATTCGCTTTATTACATTCAAATAGATAGAATATAAAGATTTGATGGTGGCAGCTGAAATTCCATAGGATTAATAATGCGTCCACGAAATCAAAATGGCCGGTAGACGGAAGATTTAGACATATTAAGCATTGTTAAGTAAAATACAATAAAAATATGTGAAAATATCGAAAACATATATAAAAGAAGAATTCTAAACTATATAATAATATAATGTTGTAATAATATTCATGTAGAGGAATTATTCATTTGCACTGGATACAATATTAACTTTTATAAAAAAAATTTAAACCGTATCAAATTAATTTTCAGAAAGTCAATATTTTTTTTTTTTTTGTAGTAATGCATTCACTATGAAAATCTGTATTACTGAAAATCCTTATTTCTGTCTAAAGAATTTATATCTTAATGGTTCAGTAAATGTTTCCGTAAAATAAAACTAAATAATTTAGTAGAAACAAGATAAATTGAGAGATATATTACTTTTTATAGTACAGAAATAACGTTACAGAACACTTTTGATAACTTTATTAATCAAAGGAATAAATGTAAGGAGTAAATCAGAGACAAAACACTATTATCCTATTCAGAAATCTTGATCAAACTTCAGAGCATTCTATTAGGAATTTTTTAATTAGATACTTATGAGAATTTTTTTTTATTCATCCAATTTCAACACACTTAAAAAATGCGCGTTACTGGAAGAAAAAAGTTAATTTTCAAATATACCATTATTTAAATATTTTCTTTTTATTTAAGTATTTCAAAATGTTAAAAACAATATTACTTCTAAGAATTTTATATTTTTTTCAAATCTTCCTAGATGTTTCTCAAAATCAGATGCATTGATGTGTTTGTACTACTGTTGACTATAGTGTTACAATATTTTCCCTCAGATACATCGAAACTCAGCAAAATATAGCTATACCTATTTTTTTTAAATTTTTATAATACATAACTATGAATCTAAATCCTTAAATCATGCACATTATTACTTAAAATATTACACAAAAATATTAAGGGGAAATTTCAAAATTTACAATACTTACAAAATAGGTTTTAGTATTTCAAATGCGGGTGATACATTCTCGGTATATCATAGCTACTCTTTACAATTCCGATCCTCTTTATTTATTTTTCAACCAATTTTTATTGTTTTCTTCTATCTTGAATGAACTTTAAACAACTGTTAGTTGGTGATACACCAGATATATTTTAAGGTATCCGTACACCTTTAAAACGTCATTTTTGTCAAAATTTTCGATTTTCTAATTTTAACATCAGTTTAAATTTTAAACTTTTTTCTTTCTAATAGTGTTTGAATTTTGCTTATACCTTATTTAGAACTTAAGTTACAGGGATTTGAATTTTACTCGTTAGCTGATTTTTGAAACCGGAAGTGCATTTCTGCAGACAGGAAGTTGGAAGAAATGTTTGTTTACATTTTTATTTTTCGAAATATCTTTTATATGTACAATGGTACAAAATAAATAAATTTTAAAACATGAATCTGAATTTTCAGAATGTTTGAAAATACATTTGGCAACAGGTTTTTAAATACATTTTTATCTTGAATCTGGCAAGAAAAGAGAATCGTTATTGTTTGTTTACATCTGTTTTGGTTTCTGTTCTCATTCTTATAAGTTTCTGATTAAGATTGTTTTTATTGTTGAAAAGCTCAATTTTTTTCGTTTAAAATGGGAAATTCAAAAAGGAGAATTAATGTTAAAAGAAAAAGACAATTTCGTGGTAATGGTTTTACCAAAAATGATAGCAAAAATAGTACTGTAACTGCTAATGCCAGTGCTTCAAAATTGAACCTTTCTGCCATTCTAGATGAAGAAATTGCTGAATATGAAAATAAACCGCTAACCGGCAACAAAATTATTGACATAGAACTCCTTCTATGCTCAATTTTACAACTTTGTTGCCCCAAATGCTTCCACGATGGTTTGCTGTTACATGAAGACTCGAGGTATGGATTGTGCTCAAGTTTTGCAATAAAATGTAAGCATTGTGACTTTTGCACAGGATTTTCCAGCTCAAAGAAAACATTAAACTATCCTGAGGTAAATGCAAGATTTGTTTATGCCATGAGACAAATTGGGAAAGGTTTTTCTGCTGCATATAAATTATGTGCAACATTAAATTTACCCAGGCTCAGTAAAACTGCATACACCAATCATGAGAATAAACTTATGTCTGTGATTTCAGAAGTAAGTGAACTATCGATGCAAAAGGCAGCTAAGGAAGTTTTGAATATTCATTCATCTAAAAATAAATTAACTGAATGCGGTGTTTCTGTCGATGGAACATGGCAGCGTAGAGGTTACACTTCTATGAATGGGTGTGTTGCTGCTTTGTCAATCGACACTGGCAAAGTAGTGGACATTGAAATAATGTCATCATATTATCCGACCTGCAGAAAGCTTTCGAAAATGCCTAAAGGTATTGTATCCGAGACGCTTGAAGCAGATCATGTGTGTCGAAGCAATTTTAAAGGTTCCTCATTAAAGATGGAAGCTGTTGGCGCAAACAGGATCTTCAAACGATCAATTGTGAAACGGGGTTTGAAGTATTCACACTATTATGGAGACGGGGATTCTAAAGGCTTCATCAGCGTGAAAGACACATATGGGAAAGATAGCGTAACTAAACTGGAATGCATTGGGCATGTTCAGAAAAGAGTAGGTGCGAGATTGCGCAAACTGAAATCCAAAAATAAAAGTTTATCTGGTAAAGTAAACTTACCGATTCGTTTATTGACAGATT